CTGGGCTATAGACTCCTTTGCGGGGCTAAAGGCGCCAGGACAAGTGTCCTGTTAGGATTCCCGTTCCTTTTACACCTTCCCTCTCAGGTCCCACAACCCGGCTCGATGGCCAAGGTGGGAGCGGTGCCCGGATCCGGGGCTGTAAACGCTGAGGCCATTGGGGCTTATCCTCGTCTCCTTTTGCTTGGGAAGTGGTTACCGGTCGACTGGACCTCACCTTTTCTATGATTTCCTCTGGGCATAGCGGGTGGCACAAGGGTGACGTGGCCGTCGGAAGTAGTCTTTGTGAATTGGTCAGACGGATCCGATAGTCGAAGACGAAGACGAAGCTCTGAAAAACACGAGGTTAGGTACACTATGTTTAACAAGTACGAAGATAGACGAATGCACCCCGACACGAACGAAGACACGAAGAGGATAGGTAGGAAAACAAAGACGGCGTCGCAGACGACGCCGCCGCCATTAAGAAGCATAGGTTTCCCCATTTCTCTCGCACGTGATGGTTTTCTCATTCGAAAGAACGCCCGAGACCAGCTACGCCGGCATAAAAGGCCGACGACCACCAGCATCAGTGGAGTAATTATCAACCGATCAACATTAACGGTCACCCTCTTCAGAGTTACCAGGAACCGATCAACATCAACGGACACCCTCTTGAAAACGACAACGCGACTCAGTATTGTAATTTATTAAATATTGTTAAAAGGTAAGTAACTTATTTCTTACACACGTTTTCCTCTGGGATTCCTATCTGGAGGTCTCTCCAATCCAACCTGATTAAGATCTGAATCCAAAAGGAATGGTACTAAAGGGACACGAACAACTACCACAAAACTGGACTTGAACACCTGCTGGTCTCTTTGTGGACAAGATCACCAAGTGGGGACTGTTTCATAGAGCACCTGGAACGACGGGGGTATACTTTCTGAATCGAAAGGAAGTATCTGTCCCACGCCCACACAATGAATCAGGACGAGCGGATAACTGGTTCCGAACCAGCGTTCTCCAAGGTAAAGCCTGGACCGAGGAGCGCTACCAAAGAACAAATGAGCCATTTAAGGAGTATCTGGTGGACCTACGACTCCAAATGCAACGCGCAGGAGCTAGAACGCATTTACAAGAATATTTTTTCCGAATCACAGATGTTTACACGTCGACAGTATTTCAGCATTTTGGCTGAGTTGTTAACTGCGAATCCGCATGCAGCCGCGGAGTACGAATTTTCCGTGGGCATACAACCGGCGGAACCGACCACACACACCAACCGACGATCTCAACGAACAAGATGAAAGCGAGCAAAACGACAAACACCAGCGCGGCACAGCAGCCGCGACGAACCAGACAAACCCGTCTCAACCATCTCCGCCCACGGGAAAAGGGCAAGGGCCTCGAGTATAAGGGAACTACCCGAGGATTTTGCCAAACGCCCAGAGAAACTGACCACCGCGATGCAAGACGATTATAGCCGTATCCGGGCAGAGGTCACGGTCGAACCTCCGAGCCGTGCGCTCCCACGTCAAGCTAGCAAATGAGACCGGCCGAGAGGTAACTCGAGCTCTTAGATTAACCATCCAGCTGAAGAAGCCCGCGTCAGCCTCGTTTTTCTCATTGTGAGGGACGTGCAGGATCCTCCTACTGGGGATGGATTTTCTTAGCTACTGAGTAGCAACACTACATTGCGGTGGACCCAGACTCACGCTCTAATCGCCCACACAACTCAGAACATCGCAAGTCGTTCTGAACACGCACCCGCCGAGGGAGAAAGCCGTCGTGAAGACGCAACCGCCGATGGGACAAGCCGCCGCGAAGGCGCACCGCAGCACGCAGACGCAGCAAGCCGCCGCACTGGCGCATTCTGAAGCCGTCCCACGGACGCACTCGAAAGCCGCCACGCGGCACATCCTGAAGCCGTTACCCTGGCGCATCCTAAAGCCACTCTGGTGAGCAACCAGCCGCCCCAAAGGCGCGTCAGCAAGGCGTCCCAAAAACGCATTCAGCAGCTGTCACCCTGGCGCAACCACCACAGCACCACGAATTCGCAACCATGCCACAGCCGGAGGCCCCTCCACAAGCCGCTTCACGCAAGCGCAACTGCAGAGTGATCACATCTTGACTGCACCGAAGGGTTCAACCCACGAGAACGCACCAACGCAGGTCCAAGAACAGCCCCGAGCTGGATTAGAATCTTGCCCGCTACCAAGCCCTCGTCGATCCTACGAAATCTGTTTCGAAGGAAAGCGAGATGAGGTTCTACGATCCGGAACCATCTGCAACTACAAGCATTCCCTCATGCGGAATTGCCGACGCTGAGTATGACTCAGAGGAAGAGCCAGTGACCACACCGAACTCTACCCAGAAACCTGGAAAATCCTGCACTGAGAGCCGTCAACGACAAGCAGATCGACGAGAAGCTCCACGATGGTAGGATCCAGCCATCCAAAAGTACCCATAGCGAGCTAATCGTTATCGCCCCTAAAAAAAACGGAAACGTCCGGATGTGCGTCGACTACCATCAGCTGAATGAAAACTCAATCCCTGACGCATATCCTCTAGCGAGGATCCACCATATTTTAAAATGGCTGCGCAACGATCGTTTCGAAGCCACGCTGGACCTCAAGAATGGTAACTGGCAGATACCAGTTGCTTCTGCCAGCCGCAAATGCACAGCATTCACCGTCCCCCTCCGTGGGTTATTTCAATGGAAAGTGATGCTTTTCGACCTACACTCTGCACCGCCAACTTTTCAACGTGGTCTCGACACTGTCATCGGGCCTGACATGGAGACATAAGCCTTCGCGTATTTGGACATCATAGTGATCGGATCCACGCTGCAGGAACACGACCGGAATCTACGCAAAGTGTTCAGATGCCTGAGGAACCCCAACCTTCTTCTGAACCGGACAGGTGTAAATTCTTTCAATGGAGCATCACATACCTTGGACATGATTATTGAAGCCGGGATTAACACGGATCCGGCTAAGATTACCGCCATACGGGAGCTAACAGCGCTGACGAACCTCAATGAGCCTTGCCGATGTCTCGACATCGCGTCCTGGTACGCTTTCAACCGACTTAGGGGATCCAATGACTTCCCTCCTAAAGACGGATCGGAAGTGGGAATGGTCTGAGAAGCAGGAACAGGCTTTTTAAGGACTAAAGGAGTTGTTGACAGAAGCCCCGATTCTCTCCTGCCCCAACTTCTCGCAGAAATTCGTTCGCCAGACCGACGCCAATTAGTATGGTATTGGGGCCGTGCTGACCCAAACCATTGAACAGCAGGAACGCGTCATCGCATACGCCAGCCGCCGGCTCAACAACGCCGAGCAGAAATACTCGGTCGTACAAAATGAATATCTTGCGGTCTTGTGGTCTATCCGCACACACTACCTGGAAAGGTACAGATTCGAGGTACTCACCCACCACCACTCCCTACAGTGGTTAAATTCCACGGGATGGATTTTTCGGTTGGCGTTAGAATTATGACAGTTCCAGTTTGACATCAGCTATCGACGTGGGACCCATGTCTTGATTGCCGCGCCCTGTCACGCCATCAGCTCGCAACCATTCAAGAAGCGCAGCAGGACAACTCCTGCAAATTGATCAATAAGATGCTTCGCCGGATTCAGCGGGAACACGCCAAAATCCCGACTACCGCGAGGAGGACAGCTATACCGAAAAATAGGCTTGCGTCCGGAAGAGGACTACACCTCCTGGAAACTATCCGTGGGCGCTAGCTTTCGCAGGAGGGTGCTAGAAGAATGCTACGATCATTCGACCGCCGGGCACATGGGCGGAATCCCGAAGACTCTGGTTTGTGACAACGGGACTCAGTTTACAAGCAAGGCCTTCCGGGAAATGGATCTCCAATAAACCGCCCCATACACACCTCAACAGATCCCTACAGAAAGGGCAACCACACCGTGAAGACCATGATAGCACAATATCTTGGCGACGAGCCTCAGAATAACTGGGACCAGCTGCTTCCAGAGATATCCCTCGCAGTAATCAGCAGTGTATCCGACACGATGGGATTCAGCCCCGCCTTCCTTGTCCAAGGCCGGGAGCCACGCCTACCCAAGACTCTCTAGCACGAGGTTACACCATGCAGAGTAATCGTCTTGATCCCGTTCGAAGACAGCAGTTACACAGCATCTTTTAAGTTGCTCGCGACAACGCCGAACGTGCCATCGCCGAGCAAGGCCGGCACTATAACTTACGACGAAGAGAATGGATATCAGCACTGGGTGCTCTAGTTCTCGTGCGCCAGCAAGCATTATCAAATGCTGCCGAAGAGTTTGGTGCCAAGCTAGCAGCCGGCTGTCGGAGGCCTTGAAGGATCCTGTACGGATCAACCCCTTTCCCACCTTCTTCTCCTATACCAACCCAAATTTAGGTCATTTGGTCAACAATCCAACCTGTCCCGGTAAACGAAAATGTTTTTGTGGAGGACCCTGGTCCGGCTTATATGTATGCTGACGCGTAATTATCATCCCTACAATGCAAATTATATATTTTCTCTTTTATCTGTAATTGCAATCATTTTTTTAAGAATACAGTGTAACTTTTACATGAAAGGCATGAAGCCACCAGTGGGATCATATTGGAATGCCAAGCGAATGTATGATGCCAATGAACTTCGTGTGCTCACGGGTTGTATCACTAAGCCATTTTCTCTTATTATATTTTGTCTTTCTTCGCTTAAGTTCTGTGAATACAATGTTGGTGGATTGAATGTCTTGTTCGGCGGTCGATGTTAGCACGTCATCCTTTAAGAACATATTTAACACATTTCAACTTACCACCTTAAAGACAAATGTCTGCTGTTGAAATTGAATTAAAATTTGCAAAACACACTTGATTTATTTGATTGTTTCCTATTGAAATGATAGGAAACGACTACTTAAAGTGTTGGTTTGTAGTACATGCTATGTACATATATCGCCAGGAGAAAAAACCCGACATATTTTTATATAGTAGATATAACATAAAAGTGTACTTACCATGACATCAAAAATAGTAGCACGATGAAGAGGCCAACTATGTATTAAATTGAGGAAGGCTTTCTTTGCTTCTGCTGGTAACATCCCTTTAAGACTCTGATGATGCATAGCCACGGCATCATGTGGAATATTTGGTACAAATCGGGGTGGTAAGCAATGGCCTGCTATAGCCCTGTAATCATTTAGGATTTCGCAACAGTCACCAAGCTCCAGTTGGCCTTGAAGAGCCGTTAACATAATAGCTTCCATTTCAGTTATTGGATACCTTTCACTTCGCAAACTATGTAGAACTTGATGATATAAAAGTTCCTTTTCAACTGTATCATCCAAGTTCATGTAATTGTCAACAAATAAATGTTTTTTAAATAGGAACATATATTGATTCTGGCGCACACTTCCCGGAATATACTGCTGCAAAAAAAAAAAAAATGGGTTGAGGTTCTGTGCCTTGATTTAATATGCTTAAGTGCCGATTTATACCCTTTTTTCTGTGAATTTTGTTATATACTGGTAGTGATACAAAAACAAGAAAGGAAGCTAACTTCGGCACGCCGAAGTTTATATACCCTTGCAGATAGAACAAGGAATCCATGCAATATACATTATATACATCTATATTAAAAAACAATGAAGTAATATCTGTTTTCATTTAATTTACCTATATATATTATATTTGCAGCTTTACATTCATAGATTTGCATTTTTGCTCCACATCTAACGATCGCTTGTATAGCACCTATATGATATAGTCGTCCGATTTTCATAAAATTTGACACAAAATTTAAGACTATAATAAAATGAAATGGCTGTAACTCAAATTTAATGCAAATCTTTTGAAAACTTACAATGTTATAATTTTTAATTGAATTAATTTCTCGGTCGTTCCTATGGGAGCTATTTGATATAATAGTCCGATATTCATCAAATTTAACACATTGTTGTAGAATAATATGAAATGGCTATATTTAATTTGATTAAATTCTGTTGAAAACTGAAAATGTTATAATTTTTGTTGTAAAAATTTTCCGATCATTACTATGGCAGCTATATGATATAGTCGTCCGATCCGGCCCGTTCCGACATATATACGAGTAAGAGTATATAGAAAGCTAACTACAAAGTTTCATTCAGATAGCTTCAAAACTGAGAGACTAGTTTGCGTAGAAACGGACAGACGGACATACGGACAGACGGACATGGCTAGATCGACTCGGCTGTTGAGCCTGATCAAGAATATATATACTTTATATAGTCGGAGGTGCCTCCTTCAGTGCGTTATAATAATTTTTATGTAAAATATTATTATGACTAAAGATTTTTTTTAATAAATATTATAATAAATAGTGATGTTAATTAAATGTTTAAAAAGTTAAATTTCATTAGCCATGTATTGATTTTTCAACGACCAGAATAAAGCCAATTCCAAGACTGTTAAGAATGGATATTTATCACTCTCTTTCCCATATACTAAATAGCAATGTTGCTAGATTACAAACGCCAAGACAAAGAAGACATTTGACCCAGCATTCTTGATCAGTTTGCTATGTCTGTCCAAGTCTAAAGACAATACAGAATCTCCAGACTCTAGATCAGGTTGGCTTCGCTCTGAAAAGAATACGCCACCATACGTATTATGTTATTCTTTATCTTTGGCCTCTAGCATTCTAATAGAATGCTCGCCAAAAACAAGAAAGGCAGCTAACTTCGTTACGCGAAAGTTTGCATAAGTTTGCATTTTTTACCACTAGGTATTAATATAATATAAATTAAATATAATTGTATAATTTTTCCGATCGTTCCTATGGTAGCTATAGTCGTCCGAACCGGCCCATTCCGACATATATACGAGTGAGAGTATAAAGAAGGCTAAGTTTCATTCAGATAGCTTCAAAACTGAGAGACTATTTTTCGAGAACGACTACAAAATCAAGAACAACTGGCTTGTTTTCATCTTCTGCTCCACCTTGAGGATGGCCCAGTTCTCCACATAGACCCCTGAGTTCTGTGCTTACAGAGTCTTAAGCTCCCTTTTGAGGTTGGATTGCCCTTTGGCAATCAGATGATTCGTCGTCGCACCTGATCACCCGGTGAACCCAACCATGTCCGATAGTAATTTGGATGTTACCATCTCAGACAGTCTGGTCTCCAGCTCCTCACATTATCCCATCAGCAGGCGCCCATCATAGTTGAGCCCGTCCACCAGTGCCATGGCAAGGCTGTCTAAAGCCACCTTACTGAACTTCTTCGCCAATCTGACGAAGGATGTTGCTGTCGGGGCCCCCTTGGCGTCCGCTAGATTGCGCTGGTCAGGTTTGCCCTCCTTCTCAGGAGGATGAATGAACCGAGCCTTACTGAACTGCGCTTTCCACTGTTGATGGGTAAACGACTTTGACTGGCAGTATTTCCTTCTCACCTTTATCTCGCCTTGGTGGTATCTGTTGATGGTTGCTTCATTTGGGAAGTGCTTAACTTAGAACTGCCCACCAAACTCCACGGAGTTAGCGTCTCGTCATCTGAGAGCAGCAACTCATCTTCGTCGATTTCGGAGATTGGTTGGAGTTTTACCTCTCCCATGAGGTCAATAGCGGATTTTGTATTTATACTCAAGTTTAAAACGAACGCGTTGCTGGACGAGGCGAGCCCAAGGGGTTTGGAGCATTGACGAGGTCGACCGTGGCTCCGCCCCAAAGCCACAGAAAGGCACCCGACCCGTCAAAAGAGTCATAGTGTGTGGGAGTCAGGGAATTCTGCCGCTCGTACGGGAGTGCGGAATTTTCCAGGAGGGACCACGCGTGGACTTTGAGGACCTTGAGCGACAATGAAACGTTCGTAACCACAGCTGCTACTTGTCTTTTTACAAGTTATTTTTCTTGTTTAAGCATAAGTCGTGTTTTTTCATTAATTTTAAGTCGGAGCCGGCGTTCGTAACCACTGCTGCTACTTGTATTTTTGACATATTATTTTTGTTATATTAGGCAAAGTCGTGTTTTTGATTTTATTAAAATCGAGTCTGGAGTCAGGAGATCCTAAAATATGTATTTATTTATATAAAGAAAATAATAATAAAAATAAATAAATAAAAAAAATTTATGATTCATATTCGGAATGCAGGTATAAGAACAGTCTTAGTTGCATCAAATCAGGACTCGGACAAAGATAAAACTTAAATTGAACATTTTTCGGTATGAGTGGAGACCAATAGAGCTTATATTATTTGAAATACTGATATTAAGGGCAATAGCAGTTTTTTTAAATATCGTCGAGAAAAAAAGAACAAAATCCTCATTGAAGTTACAGCACCTCAAATGTACCCAAACCCCGAATTTATTGCACTTTTAAGATAAAACACCTTAAAATCCTGGTTAAGCGCATTGAACAATTGGAAAAAAATATTTTGGTTCTTGATTCTGAGACTATTTTAAATTTCGTCGGTTGGTGTTATTTTTAGGAATGCAAAATTTTGTAAACCGTGGAAAAAAAACAAAATAAATGGGCTCAAACTTTAAACATTAAATGCTTCAATTCAGATCTATTCTGCTTTCCGGTGCTTTGTTTGGACATAGCCAAATGCCACATCAACAAATTAATAAAATGAAATGAATTTGTTCCGTTATACTATCCGCTAATTTTCGAAAGCAGTGTTATAAAAACTATTTAACTCGTTGCAGGTCCAAGTTCTTACAGGACACAAAACAATTTTATAATTTTGTTAACACTAAACGTAAGCCTAAATCAAATCTTCCTTGCTTTTATTAGAAAATACTGCCGCAAATACTAATCAGGCAATAGCCGACCTTTTTTTTAGAGTTTTGTCAGACAACTTATTCAAACTCTTCGGATTCATATCAGTTTTATTCCTACAACATATCAAAATGAACTTAGTTTTCAGTCAAAGCTTAAAGGAAAGTTCTCTTCTTTAAGATCTTCATCGTGACCTGAATATAATGCCGAAAGAACTGTTCGTGCGGCTATAAAATCCCTAGCTGCCGTGAAAACAAACTCGCGACTAGTGGCAGAATGCAAGAAAGCCCTTAATAGACTTGCTGACAAAAATGAGGTACAAGTAACTTGGGTACCGTGACACAACGAGATCCCAGGAAATGAGAAGGCATATGAACTAGCCCGTGCAAGCTCGGCAGGGCTAAGTACGGACATCGAAATACCGATCTCCCAAAATGTAATTCAGACAAGGATCCATGACCACTTTAAGCTGATAGCTAACAAAGAATGGCTAAGTAAGAGCCATCACAGAAGGTCTAGGGAATGTTGGCCAATGAAGATGGGACTGCCAATCTGTAGAAGCTGTAAGTAATCTACACAGCAAGAGACACCGGAACATCTGCTCTGCTTTTGCCCACCGCTAGACCACATCAGACTTCGCCACTTTGGTGCCTACCAGATAGAGTCACTGGGAAGTATAGGAAAGCTGAAAGTTTCGGCAATCCTACCTTTCCTTACTGAAAACCATCTGAATAGCGAAAACTTGATTCCAATAAATAGAAAGAAAGAAAGAGGTAATAAGCTTGCTACTGAACTGCTGCTCTTTGGAAAGAATTAATTCTGTTGATGATTTTGGCGTCCGCTTGAACCCAAAACTTGACTTTATTGATCATATTTCGTCTATGGTGAATAGAGCCAGGGGTGTGCTTGGATTTATTAAACGGTGGTCGAAGAAATTCAATGACTCTATGTTACTAAATCCTTATATACTTCTTTAGTTCGTCCTCTCTGAGAATATGGATCCTGCGTTTGGAGCCCTCAGTACGGCGTCCATAGTAAACGCATCGAGTCGGTGCAAAAGAACTATTTACTTTTCGCACTACGCGGTTTAAATTGGGGTGCAAACCAAAGATTACCTGTACTCTAATAGACTCCTATTAATAGACTTACCGTCGTAGAACTTTCAATCGTAGAACGATGCTAGAAATTTTTTTTTTAATTATTTTTAACCTTATCCATGGTGGTGTGGAAAGTGCTGACTTGTTGAGTCAGCTCAATTTCCACGTACCATGTAGAACTACTAGATCCTATATCCCATTAGTCTTGTGCCACTGTAGAACCTCCTTCGAACTGCATGAACCTTTTAGAGTCAATATTTGTACACACTAATCTCTAACGTAGATACCCTTCCCAAATTAAAATCTTTAATACTAACACACTTAGTAAACATGCAAGCAAACAACCTGGCAGCACGCCGGTAGTAAATTTCCTCGTGTTCTGTTCAATATTTTCATCGCGCCTACTAACGCCTAACCCAAACAGGCACGGGCCTGATGTCATACGGGCCACTTGAATGTGCTGACCATAGTTCATCAACGTCCAATATGCAAAAAAATGGAGCGTCTGATAGGGCGATCTAGCCGATATACTGTGAACACAGCTGGAAAAACTTCGGAGCTCAGAATCTCCGG